ACAACCATGTTTGATAGGCATTCTAAAAAATTCATTTTGTTTTTCCATATTTATTTTTTATCTATACATTCTCTTAATAAAATAATTTTGCTCGTGACCCATTCGATTTAACAATATGTTATCTACAAAAATAAAAAAGTAAAGACATTATTGCATAATATAAGTTCTTGAAAACCATACTTTATAACAATTCATTAACTAATATACCTCCAATCCCACTAGTAATATTCTTATTATTAGACCCTACCAACGAAAATTCTTCACACGACATATTTAGTATACAGTAATGGAGCCATATAATAGTCGATTCTTAATATTCTCCCCGTCTCGTCTACTGAACATGGCAAAAAGTGTGCAAATCAATACTGCAAGAAATCTGCCATACCCATAATAGGTTGCTGATTAACATAGTGAGAATTGCAAGTTTGGTTCATATAAGCGGAATCTGCAATTGAATAATTCTCCTCAATGCCAAAACCACCATTGTTAGCATTCAAGAAATTTATGATTTCATTGAGAGATTGCAGTCTGTGGCTAAGTTCAGCCGTTTGAGCTCTGAGAATTGAATTCTCAGCCTCGATGTTGAGATAATACTGTGTGGTGAAATTCATTCTTGGGATAATCTGATTAATTTCCTTCCTAAATTGAGACACTTTGGCCACGAGATCATCCAGTTGCTCCTGTTTTCGCAGCCGGGATCGACGTGCTGATTCACGGTTCGAAATCATTCTCTTCCTCTTCTTCTGATCCATCAATTTCTGAAGATCTTCTTCAAAACCTGAGTTCTGAAGCTCCGATGATCCTGACGATGTCCCACTAGATGAAGCCATGAAACTGTTACGGATCAAGTTCTAATCCCGACTCACTAGTAGTTCACCAGCGTTAGCCGATCAAAATGTACACAACTTTCCGGAAATTCACCCAGTCAAGTGTATAGTTAAAGTCGAACTGGGTTCACATAGATAAGTGTACAGTATAATTAAACTTCACACGGTCGAACAGAAACCTTAATGAATTGCTCGAGATTAAAAAACTATATATATATTTTCAGCAGGACCCAGATAAAGATAAGTTATAATATTTATATAGATAGAGATTTATTTATATAGGCTACTTATAAATTATAATCAGAAAAGTGATATAAAAATCATGAAATGTAATAGAACCAGTAAAGGAAAACAACAGAGAAGGATTGAACTAAGTGGGTCCTGCGCCTATATGTAGAATTTATCATAAACCCAGAAAGAAAAAGCTCACTTAGAATTGCAGACATCAATTTCAAAGATCAAGAACAATAAATTAAGCATCAGGATTAGCTTAAAATAATCCTCAAAATCTTAATTACAACGATGCTGAAGAAAAATTTCTAGACTAAACCCTGAACCCAACTAATCGAGATTGATAATAATGAAACCAAATAAGGATGAAACAACCTTAGGAACTGAAAATCAAGAAGGGGGCAGAGTGAGATAGAAGAGTGGCTGAGAGAGAAAAGAGAAGGAGAAGAGGATTTTGATGGTGATTCGAGTCTGATTTTATAGGGCAAAACAGCATCTGAAAAATTGTTAAAAAATTGAAAAAATATAAAAAACAGAAATCTGTGGAATAAAGAAAAGTAGATTTGAATCTACTCAGAAAAAAGTGGATGTGGAGGTAAAGCACAATGAGGCATGTGGGGTAGGGTGGGGTTGAGTAGGAACCTCTGCAACTATCTAGATCGAGCTCGGAAGCAACCGGGGAAGAGGTCAACAAGCCATCTTATTTCTTGAAATTAAATTTCATAAAAAAAAGTTTTTATTTCGAAATGTATGATTAAAAAAAATAAAAATAATAAAATTAAAGATTCACGTATAAAATTATTTTATTAATAAATATGTAGTTAAAAATAAATTTGAAAATTAAAAAAAAAAAACAAATAGGGGCTATCTTTTATTCAAAAGAAAAATAAAATTAAGGTTATTTATGTAATGTACGTTCCAATTTTATATCCACATATCGTCTTTTTTTTCATCTTCTTCTTCAATCAAATACTGCCGTTGGTTTAAAAGAGGATCAAATATACCGTGTTCTAGTTGATTAAGAATTATTATTTTCACAATCAAATTCAATAATTAAATAAAATGACTGTTATTTTCTTGATCATTATATAACGTACGTTCCAAATTTATATTCAAGTATCTTCTTTTTATAATTTTTTTTTAATCGATGCTGCCGTTAGTTTAGCAGTTCACCTTGTTTTGGTTTATTAAGAATTATTATTATCACAATCAAATTCAAGAATTCGAGAATTAAATAAAACGACGGTTATTTTCTCCTTCCAATTTTATATCCACATATCTTCCTTTTTTCATCTTTTTCTTCAATCAATACCGTCGTTAGTTTAGAAGAGGATCAATTCACCTCGTTTTAGTAGATTAAGAATTGTTATTTTCAGCCCCCAGGGCATATCTCCCAGT